TTTCTTTCACCCTATGCCCCTGTTACCTAGCAGTAAAATAGGTACCTGGGTGTTAGTCAGCTGTCACGGGCTGCTTCCTGGGGGTGGAGGCCTGGTCGAGGACCGGGCCGCGGGGACACTAAAGCCCCGAAATCATCTCAAGATAACCTCAAGATAACCTAATGAAATTAGTAAATTTTTAATTTCTCAACCAAATTGGAATATATATATATATATATATATATATATATATATATATATATATATATAATATATTTTATACTGGCGTGCACAGTTCTATAATTGCTGGTGGAGTGGTATTAGTACTGCGCATATCCAGGTGGGTGAGCCCTGTAGCGCAGGTTCGAATTCTAGTCGGAGGGTGAAAGATTCTTAGTGACCAGCCCGTCCTCTAAACAAAGGGCTCAAAGTCCATTCCATCCACCCGCCAAACCTCCACCTGTTTATCAATGAAAAACGGTTTACACACGACTCACAACTGCTGACGTCCGAACACTTCCGGAACAACGACTGACGACTTTTTGTTCGAACCACAACGCTGTAATTGCTTCACCCACATACTACAAATAATCGCCAACAGAACCTAAACACCTAACCTAACTAACGCTTAAATATGCACAGTATGTTAAGATATAACAATATTAATCTATATTTTAGAAAATTCCTGTCTTGAATGAACAGGATGTAAAAATTGGTGAATGCGTCTTTGGGGTCGACCGCTGGGTGGAATGGACCTGGTCTGAGGACGGGTTGCAGTGACCCGTCTGTCATCCACTTGGAAAAATTGGGAAATTTTGATTATCTGTTTATTTTCATTCACAACTCGTTCGTGTTTATAAAGTCTCGTCAAATTTCTGGACATTTTCATCTTCATTTGCAATACAGGTTTTCCTCATCTTGCAATTTCGCAACAAAACATTTATCAGTAATTTCTCACCCATCTATTTGTCTCCCTCCCTCACCTCCCCTTTCTTTCATTTATATCGCAGTTCAGTTCCCAATTTATGATCTCTCCCTTCAGTTCTTCCTCCTTTTCTCCCATTTAGCTTGTCTTTCTCTCCCCCCTGTTCCATTCTCTCCCCTCTTGGCATAGTTCCCGCCCTTCCCTCTCTTCCATCCCTCCCTCCCTCCCTCCCTCCCTCCTTCCTCTCCTTCCCCTCTCATGTCGCGAGAACTCTGCTACAACAAACCAAAAAAGGCTCACCATTAATTCTGACATTCAGCTGCCTATGAAATGTCGACCTTCGATTCATTTGAGCCTCCTCCGGCTAGCTGCATAACCCCTCTCCATCCCCGCTGTCCACGGAGTTTCCTATGGAACTTCACCTCACCTCAGATCTCTTAAAACCCGGATTCGGTATAAAAAGACTCTGGTAATCAGAATCCATTTTCGTCCGGGTCCCGCGGGTGTCGTTTTTAAGGGCTAGCCCCGGTAATTAGCAGAGGAAGGTATTAATTTCGCGTAAATCACGGGTTGTGTTCCCAGATAGCGTTTTCTTTAGTATCCCCGGATAGTGTATAAAAAACGGAGATTAATTGATCCCTGCTCGCTATGCTTCGTCTTGAAATGTCGGGGGATATTTTGTCTTTGATGTGATCAATGGGCCGCTTGGGAGATGGCGAAGGGGGAGAGGCTATTTCCGAATTGTTCCCGCTGCCTGGGGTTAAGGTTCTTCGCGTTGAGTCAGGTGGTTAAGGGTAATAGGAGTTATATTTACGCAGAAGGGCGTGTGAGCGAACGGACGCATGTGAATGTGAGCACTTTTAAGAGAGAACATATACACTCATTCACACACACACACACACACACACACACACACACACACACACACACACACACACACACACACACACACACACACACACACACACACACACACACACACACACACACACACACACACACACACACACACACACACACACAGTTTCAAATGTAGATATGATAGAGCCCAGTAGGCTCAGGAATCTGTACACCAGTTGATTGACAGTTGAGAGGCGGGACCAAAGAGCCAAAGCTCAACCCCCGCAAGCACAACTAGGTGAGTACAAATAGGTGAATAGGTGAGTACACACTCTCTCTCACACAGGTCCTCGCGGCTGAGCGGACAAAGCTCAAATCAGTCATAAGCATTGAAAGAAGCATTTAGTGAAAGAGTAGTTAACATGAGAAATGAGCTGAAATTGGATGTACTTAAATGTAATTTCAAGAATAACGTTATTATGATATGGAACCAATGTAATACGAGTCCAGAGACTGTCAGACAGGTACCAGGAGCTGAAGCTCATCTACAAATACAAATAGAAGAGTAGTCACGCAAGGAAGAATAGGTAACATTATAATCATAAAACAATGAGATTTAGGAAATAATATATCAGAGAGTTGTAAACAATCCAGCAATTGCAAAATTAAAATTATAATAACTGACAGACTCGTGATACAATATGCATATAGAATCTCAATTAGCCATTGCAGGCGATGAGTCACAATAACGTGGCTAAAGTATGTTGACCAGACCACACACTAGAAGGTGAAGGGACGACGACGTTTCGGTCCGTCCTGGACCATTCTCAAGTCGATTGTGCCTCAATTAGCCATTCTTCACCATTCCACAAGATATTGAGGTCATTGAGAGAACTGTAACTACCCTCCCCCCCCCCCCCCCCCCCCCACCCGTGGTGACACTAACCAGAAGACAAGAGGTCACAGCTCTCAAGAAGGCAAGATGACAGCCAGGTCATGAAGACCACTCCCGACACGGAGCCAAGTGTCGTGAACAAAACACAAATATATATATTTGTCGTGTATGCTTTTACACGAGCCGTTGAGAACTGTCTGCAACTACGCTCCATTATATATGGGCAAGACAAAAGCATCTTTCTCAAGATGTTAGTCATTGCTCAGACAATAAGGCTTATGTTAGGTCGCTTTTTTTCCTCCCCTTACCTCTTCTTTCCTTTTCCCCTTCCTTTTCCCCTTCTTCTCTCTCTCCCCTCTTCACCTATTCCTCCCTCCTCCCCTTCTCCCACTACTCCATTTTCTCCTCTGCCTCATCGTTTCTATCCTCTTTCAACCCTCTCCCCTTCTTCCCCTCATCTCCCTCATTTTGGGGGTTTAAAGGGTAGCATTATGATAAGATGTTTTCATTCTAGTACAATCATTTCATTTCATTCATCAGTACAATCCGTTTTTTATAATAATAATAATAATAATGTTAGAGTCGAGTCACACGCGAAATGTTCGTGGGAGTGACGTTGTCACAGTGTCACTTGACAGTGTTGACACCTATCCTAACCCGCCCATGTTGGGCACGTTCCCAGCAGCAGTTACTGGGGAAAATTGGGTGAAGCTTGACGGAAGCGCCTGCCCTTCAAGTTTGAACAAAGAAACAAAGAGACATTCTCGTGTGTGTATATATATATATATATATATATAAATAGATACGCACATATACATTCATAAATACATACATGTATAATTTCATGGGGAAAACTGTACAGACAGACAAATGGATATTCACAAGTATAAAAAAGGATACCAACAAAAGCAGCAGCCACAACAAAAAACGGGAATAATCTCTCATCTTCACCCCAACTAATTAGACTTGCTTTTAGTCTGGCCTAATCGCATTCCTTCAGCACTAATCGATTCCAGGGGACGATCAGCACACACACACACACACACACACACACACACACACACACACACACACACACACACACACACACACACACACACACACACACACCCGCCTGGCCCTCCCCTAACTCACAACACAGCAATATCAACATTACTCATTATTCATGCCATTTATTCATGACATTTACTCATGCAATGTATTCCATTGCAATACCCTTTCTTCGGGGATTCAATTGCGGCTTGTCGTGGATAACACTATGTAACAGTAACTATTTTTTGCTTGATTAGATATATATTCTCAAGTTGTTTATACTCCAAAGAAAATTTCCCCTCAGACTTTGCTTTGATCTTAGACTCAGACATCTTATAGTGAAGATATCTTGAAGGTGACTTGAAGTCTGCAGCTGACTCCTTATCCACAGCTGTGCCAGTTTGTCACTATACTCTAGATAAAGGAATCGGCAGTGAACAAATCCACAAGGGCCGTGACGAGGATTCGAACCTGCGTCCGAGAGCATCCCAGACGCTGCCTTATGAATCGGCAGTCTTCAGGTAATCTTCAAGATGTCTTCTCTCAGATGTTTCTGGAAAGTTCAAAGAAAGTTTGAGGGGAAATAAGACTTTTTTTTTGTACTTTGGAGAGGGATAAACATCAAGAAAGTAACACACGGCAAAAAAAAACTGTGTAATATTCTAATTTATTTGTTACTTTTGTATTTGTCACTTGTTTGTAAATGGATTTATTAGACCTTGGCTAAACCTGGTGGGTTTGCAATTAATTATTTGGGTTAATTCGGGATTTTGTTGATTATAAAAGATAATTAGTGTGACCATAATTTCTGCTCGTGATATAACTACAGGTATTTTAGTTGTGAGAACAAGTAAAATTTTCAGGTGTTTTACTTGTGAGATCAAGTTAAATTTTCAGGTGTTTTACTTGTGAGATCAAGTTAAATTTTCAGATGTTTTACTTGTGAGAACAAGTTAAATTTTCAGGTGTTTTTACTTCTGAGAACAAGTTAAATTTTCAGGTGTTTTTACTTCTGAGAACAAGTAAAATTTTCAGGTGTTTTTACTTTTGAGAACAGTTATTAGTGCAACTAATATGAGCAAATATTACTGCTTCTCTTTATACTAAAAGTATTACTACTATTTCTACTACTACCATTACTACAATTCGTGCTACTTAAACATATGTTACTAATGCTGTTAAGTTTACTATTAGTAGCACTAACTAAATTACCATTACAACTATTTCTACCAGGACCTTTTTTTTCCCTCACTTATTTTAATATTTTGATCATTTTAATTCTGTTCATTGTTATTTTAATAGCATTTGTTTCTTTGTTATTGGGTTATTTCAACCATATGTGGTGTTGCTAACACTGCAATTTGCAATATTTTTGCTACTGATATTACTACTGTTACCACTATTACTGTTACCACTATTACTGCTACCACTATTACTGCTACCACTATTACTGTTACCACTATTACTGCTACCACTATTACTGTTACCACTATTACTGCTACCACTATTACTGTTACCACTATTACTGTTACCACTATTACTGCTACCACTATTACTGCTACCACTATTACTGCTACCACTATTACTGCTACCACTATTACTGCTACCACTATTACTGCTACCACTATTACTGCTACCACTATTACTGCTACCACTATTACCGTTACCACTATTACTGTTACCACTATTACTGTTACCACTATTACTGCTACCACTATTACTGCTACCACTATTACTGCTACCACTATTACTGCTTCCACTATTACTGCTTCCACTATTACTGCTACCACTATTACTGCTACCACTATTACTGCTACCACTATTACTGTTACCACTATTACTGCTACCACTATTACTGCTACCACTATTACTGCTACCACTATTACTGCTACCACTATTACTGCTACCACTATTACTGCTACCACTATTACTGCTACCACTATTACTGCTACCACTATTACTGCTACCACTATTACTGCTACCACTATTACTGCTACCACTATTACTGCTACCACTATTACTGCTTCCACTATTACTGCTACCACTATTACTGCTACCACTATTACTGCTACCACTATTACTGCTACCACTATTACTGCTACCACTATTACTGCTACCACTATTACTGCTTCTCTATGATTACTGTTACTATAACTATTATTAAAGCTGCTACACAATATAACAATTTTCTCCTACAACACAATGCGTAGAAGAAAAGCGTTATTTGCCTTTAGTTCAAGTTACTAAATTGTTCAAATTTTCTTCGTCCATATCTGTCTCTAAAAAAAAAATACACACACACACACACATACACACACACACACACCTGTGTGTGTGTGGGGGGGGGAAATAGTAGTTACAGTTGATTGACAGTTGAGAGGCGGGCCGAAAGAGCAGAGTTCAACTCCCGCAAGAACAAATAGGTGAATACAAAGAGGTGAATACACACACACACACACACACACACACACACACACACACACACACACACACACACACACACACACACACACACACACACACACACACATATAAGCTAAATAAATACACGAGACGGAAACAAGCGGCAGTGTTCATATCGCTAAGTGTTCGAAAATGAAATCAAATGAATACCTCCGTCCGTTTCATTAATCACTAGTGGCTTCTTCATAATCCTGATTACTCCGGGCGCCACGTGGTGGTGGCCTGGTTGCTGCCTGCTAGTTGGCCGGTGTGCGTGTGTGCGTGCGTGTGTGTGCGCGCGTGTGTGTGTGTGCGTGTGTGCGTGCGTGTGTGCGTGTGTGCGTGCGTGCGCAGTAGAGCCTTGAGTGTAACAAGTGATGAAGAGCATTGCGAGTGCGTGCCTGGACTCACCTAGTTGTGCTTGCTAGTTGGGGGTTGAGGTTCGGCTCTTTGGTCCCGTCTCTCAACTGGTGTGCAGATTCCTGAGCCTACTGGGCTCAATCATAACTACATTTGAAACTGTGTATGGGGTCAGCCTCCACCACATCACTGCCTAATGCTTTCCACCTGTTAACTACTCTGACACTGAAAAGGTCCTATCTAATGTCTCTGTGGCTCATTTGGGTACTCAGTTTCCAACTGTGTCCCCTAGTTCGTGTACCACCCGTGTTAAATACTTTATCCCTGTCAATTCCCTTGAGAATTTTAAAGGTGGTGATCATGTCTCCCCTTACTCTTCTGTCTCCCAGTGTCGTGAGGTTTAGTTCTAGTAATCTTTCCTCGTACTTCATACGAGGAATGGGAACTAGCCTGGTGGCATACCTCTGAACATTTTTTTAACTTCGTTTCGTATTTGGCTAGATTTGGGCTCCACACTGGAGCCGCATACTCCAGTATTGATCTGACATATTAAGTATACAACGTTCTGAATTATTCCGTACACAGTTTTCGGAAGGCAGTTCTTATGTTGGCCAGCCTTGCATATGCTGCTGATGATATCCTTTTGATGTGGACTTCATGGGGGACAGGTCTGGTGTGATATCAATCCCCAGATATTTCTCTCTTTCTGTTACCCGAAGGATTTCGTCTCTCAACTGGTACTTGTGTTTGGCCTCCTAGGCTCCCTACGCCTATCTTCGTCACTTTGCACTTGCCCGAGTTAAACAATAGTAGCCATTTGTTGGACCATTCTTTCAGTCTGTCCAGGTCATTTTGTAGTCGCTTGCTGTCCTCCTCTGTCTTAATCCTCCTCATAATTTTAGCATCATCAGCAAACATTAAGAGGAATGAGTCTGTACTTTCCGGAAGATCATTTACGTATATCAGAAACAGGATAGGTCTGAGTACAGAGCCCTGTGGGACCCCGCTGGTGACATCTCACCATTCACCCCACACAATAACTCTCAGCTTCACCAGCTTTTCTTACAGGGTTGTCTTCCTTCCGATGTAGCTGTGGAAAAGTTATGATTCGGTCTTGGCTCTATGTACTGTGTCATTTTCATACTGTGTCATACTGTCTCTCTCTCTGCTTCTCCTTACACACTGAGGTATTCATTTCAGACACTCGGGTATCTCCCTCTGCTTTCTTGCGTTCCGATATCTCCGTAGTTTCTCCATACCTTCGTATTTAATTGCCTTGCTTCCTTTCATGCCCAATTAAACCACGGATTTTGCTTTTGCTTTTCATTTGTGTACTTTTGTTACTCCTCTGCCTCCTGGCACATGTGGGCGTGTGAGGGTATGTGCATGTGTGTGTGTATATGTGTATATATGTATGTGTGTAAGGGGGGGGGTGCCTGTGCGGGATGGGAGGGTCTATGAACGTTTATGTTCGGATTTTTGGGGTGCGTTTGTATGTGTGACTTCTTGATTGTTTTAGCTACTGGAACAAAAAGTTGAAAGTAGCACGGGCTATGGTGAGCCCGAGGTACTCCCCTGGTGCAGGAGATGTGCCTGTCACGTGACTTCTTGAAAATGTCTCCACTTTTATAGACGTCACCAACCTCCGTGTCACTCCTGGAGACGTCACCGACCTCCGTGCCACTCCTGGAGACGTCACCAACCTCCGTGCCACTCCTGGAGACGTCACCAGCCTCCGTGCCACTCCTGGAGACGTCACCAGCCTCCGTGCCACTCCTGGAGACGTCACCAACCTCCGTGTCACTCCTGGCGACGTCACCAACCTCCGTACCACTCCTGGAGACGTCACCAGCCTCCGTGCCACTCCTGGAGACGTCACCGACCTCCGTGTCACTCCTGGCGACGTCACCGACCTCCGTACCACTCCTGGAGACGTCACCAGCCTCCGTGCCACTCCTGCAGACGTCACCGACCTCCGTGTCACTCCTGGCGACGTCACCGACCTCCGTGTCACTCCTGGCGACGTCACCGACCTCCATACCACTCCTGGAGACGTCACCAACCTCCATACCACTCCTGGAGACGTCACCAACCGTCATCAATCCCTCAACTCCGCCTGCCTCAACAATTCCCACGAGTCTCAATCCATCAACTGGGTGACCCGAGGCCTTTGTACTCCTCCCCTCCGATCTACATCTCCCCTCAACTCCCCCCCTCCCCCGCTCCCCTCCCTTCCCCCTCCCTCTACCTATTCCCCCCCCCCCTCCCCACTCTCTCCACCTCTCCCTCATACTCCTTCGCTTTCTCCTTATCTCCCGTTCTCCACTTTTCCTCTCTTCAATCACTTGTTGGTTGGCGTTTGATCGCCAATTGCCCAAGCGATTGGGCACTTGTGTCTCTTACAAGTGCTACAAAAGTCATTCCATCTTGGCGTTTTCTCCTGATGATTGTTCCCTCGTCTCTCATCTTCTCTGTTTCCTTTCTTCCTGTTTTCTGCTATATTATCTCTCTTCGTTTCTCTTATTCTTATTCTTCTTTTCACTGTTATTTTCTTTCTCAGTTCCTTCCTTTGTTTTATCTTTCAAGGCATCTTCATCCATTCTCAATTCATTCTCATCTTCATTCATTACCTGGTGGTTGGTAATAGTCTGGTGGTTGGTAATAGCCTGGTGGTTGGTAATAGCCTGGTGGTTGGTAATAGCCTGGTGGTTGGTAATAGTCTGGTGGTTGGTAATAGCCTGGTGGTTGGTAATAGCCTGGTGGTTGGTAATAGCCTGGTGGTTGGTAATAGCCTGGTGGTTGGTAATAGTCTGGTGGTTGGTAATAGCCTGGTGGTTGGTAATAGCCTGGTGGTTGGTAATAGCCTGGTGGTTGGTAATAGTCTGGTGGTTGGTAATAGCCTGGTGGTTGGTAATAGCCTGGTGGTTGGTAATAGTCTGGTGGTTGGTAATAGCCTGGTGGTTGGTAATAGCCTGGTGGTTGGTAATAGTCTGGTGGTTGGTAATAGCCTGGTGGTTGGTAATAGTCTGGTGGTTGGTAATAGTCTGGTGGTTGGTAATAGTCTGGTGGTTGATAATAGTCTGGTGGTTGGTAATAGTCTGGTGGTTGGTAATAGTCTGGTGGTTGGTAATAGTCTGGTGGTTGATAATAGTCTGGTGGTTGGTAATAGCCTGGTGGTTGGTAATAGCCTGGTGGTTGGTAATAGCTTGGTGGTTGGTAATAGTCTGGTGGTTGGTAATAGTCTGGTGGTTGGTAATAGTCTGGTGGTTGGTAATAGTCTGGTGGTTGGTAATAGTCTGGTGGTTGGTAATAGTCTAGTGGTTGGTAATAGTCTGGTGGTTGGTAATAGTCTGGTGGTTGGTAATAGTCTGGTGGTTGGTAATAGTCTGGTGGTTGGTAATAGTCTGGTAGATGGTAATAGTCTGGTGGTTGGTAATAGTCTGGTGGTTGGTAATAGTCTGGTGGTTGGTAATAGTCTGGTGGTTGGTAATAGTCTGGTGGTTGGTAATAGTCTGGTAGATGGTAATAGTCTGGTGGTTGGTAATAGTCTGGTGGTTGGTAATAGTCTGGTGGCTGGTAATAGTCTGGTGGTTGGTAATAGTCTGGTGGTTGGTAATAGTCTGGTAGATGGTAATAGTCTGGTGGTTGGTAATAGTCTGGTGGTTGGTAATAGTCTGGTGGCTGGTAATAGTCTGGTGGTTGGTAATAGTCTGGTGGTTGGTAATAGTCTGGTGGTTGGTAATAGTCTAGTGGCTAGTAATAGTCTGGTGGTTGGTAATAGTCTAGTGGCTAGCAATAGCCTAGTGGCGGCGACTGTGGTCAAAAAGGCATATGAAACCTCCTTCATATAAAAAAAAATAATCTTAGAGTGTATTTTCAAACATTTTATTTCTAAAACAAAACCAAATGACATGATTCGAGTTCATGCAATGAACAAGCAGTCAGTCGTTCTCGAAAGCAATTTGCGTGAATACAAAGATATGTTCCTTAAGAGTCATGCGCCCTTTGTGTTTATAAATGAGAATCTGCTTTCACTGTGTAAGAATTTTTCTTATTGTTTTTGTGTATTTTTACAGTTCGAGCGCCTTTTGGTATTTTGACGTGTGGGAGAGAGAGAGAGGTGCTCTGATTTCCAGGTCTGATAGTGTGATTGGCTGATTGTTCGGTGTTGTGTCATGGCCTCGGCTTTGTCTCACGGTTTGGACGCTTTATTTGGCTCGTCAGTACTTCGTTCTGTGTCCCTTCACCTGCTGGAGGAGTAAGCAGGTCATTAGTCAGCCACAGACCCGGGGCCAGATTCATGAAGCAGTTACGCAAGCACTTGCGAACTTGTGCATCTGTTTTCAATCTTTGGCGGGTTTATTTACAATTATTAAACAGTTAATGAGCTCCGAAGCACCAGGAGGCTGTTTATAACAATAACAACAGTTGATTGGCAAGTTATCATGCTTGTAAATCTGTTCATTAACTGTAACCAAAGCCGTCAAAGATTGAGGAAGGATATAGATGTTCGTATGTACTTGCGTAACTGCTTCGTGAATCTGGCCTCTAGAACTACACTGGCGCTCAAGTGGCCTAGCATGTATGAGACAAGCGCTCAAGCATCTTCTAAATTATAACACATCGCCTCCGGAACGTTGGAACAGAATGCCACTGTTCCCAGGTGATTTTGTTCATCTATTATTCAACCTGTACCCATCCCGTGGGTGGTAGTGGACCCCATACCCATCTCGTGGGCGGTGGTGGATCCCATACCCATCCCGTGGTCGGTAGTGGACCCCATACTCATCCCTTGGGCGGTAGGTGGATCCCATACCCATCCCGTGGACGGTAGTGGACCCCATACCCATCCCGTGGGTGGTAGTGGACCCCATACCCATCCCGTGGGCGGTAGTGGACCCCATACCCATCCCGTGGGCGGTAGTGGACCCCATACCCATCCCCTAGGCGGTAGGTGGACCCCATACCCATCCCCTGGGCGGTAGGTGAACCCCATACCCATCCCGTGGGCGGTGGTGGACCCCATACCCATCCCGTGGGCGGTAGTGGACCCCATACCCATCCCCTGGGCGGTAGGTGGACCCCATACCCATCCCGTGGGCGGTAGTGGACCCCATACCCATCCCGTGGGCGGTAGTGGACCCCATACCCATCCCCTGGGCGGTAGGTGGACCCCATACCCATCCCGTGGGCGGTGGTGGACCCCATACCCATCCCGTGGGCGGTAGTGGACCCCATACCCATCCCGTGGGCGGTAGGTGAACCCCATACCCATCCCGTGGGCGGTGGTGGACCCCATACCCATCCAGTGGGCGGTAGTGGACCCCATACCCATCCCGTGGGCGGTGGTGGACCCCATACCCATCCCGTGGGCGGTAGTGGACCCCATACCCATCCCGTGGGCGGTAGTGGACCCTATACACATCCCGTGGGTGGTAGTGGACCCCATACCCATCCCGTGGGTGGTAGTGGACCCCATACCCATCCCGTGGGCGGTAGTGGACCCCATACCCATCCCGTGGGCGGTAGTGGACCCCGTACTCATCCCGTGGGCGGTAGTGGACCCCATACCCATCAAGTGGGCGGTAGGTGGACCCCATACCCATCCCGTGGGCGGTAGTGGACCCCATACCTATCCCGTGGGCGGTAGTGGACCCCATACCCATCCCGTGGGCGGTACTGGACCCCATACCCATCCCGTGGGCGGTAGTGGACCCCATACTCATCCCGTGGGGGTAGTGGACCCCATACCCATCCCGTGGGCGGTAGGTGGACCCCATACCCATCCCGTGGGCGGTAGTGGACCCCATACCCATCCCGTGGGCGGTAGTGGACCCCATACCCATCCCGTGGGCGGTAGTAGACCCCATACCCTTCCCGTGGGCGGTAGTGGACCCCATACTCATCCCGTGGGCGGTAGTGGACCCCATACTCATCCCGTGGGCGGTAGTGGACCCCATACCCATCCCGTGGGCGGTAGTTTACCCCATACCCATCCCGTGGGCGGTAGTGGACCCCATACCCATCCCGTGGGATGTAGTGGACCCCATACCCATCCCGTGGGCGGTAGTGGACCCCATACCCATCCCGTGGGCGGTAGTGGACCCCATACCCATCTCGTGGGCGGTAGTGGACCCAATACCCATCTCGTGGGCGGTAGTGGACCCCATACTCATCCCGTGGGCGGTAGTGGACCCCATACCCATCCCGTGGGCGGTAGTGGACCCCAGACCCATCCTGTGGGCGGTAGTGGACCCCATACCCATCCCGTGGGCGGTAGTGGACCCCAT